GGCTGGGAGCGGCGGCGCAATTCGTCCGGTCCGGGACGGACATGTCCTGCGGGCGAGAGGGGAAAGATCTAGGGTTAGACCGTGAATTTTGGAGAGGGACACATATTTATAGGTAGAGGGAGCTAGGAGAGTCCAAATGAGGTGCGGTTTTCGGCCACGCGGTCGTGATCGAATGGCCGAGAGGATGGAGGGTGTTTGGATGGGTTATTGGGCCACTTTGGAGGGGTGTTGGGCTGCAACACACATGAGGCCTTTATGGTTCCCCGATTAACTGTTGGAGTATCAAACGGACTCCAAATGGCACGAAACTTGACAGGTGGTCTACCGGTAGTGAACCAAGGTCGCTTGGAAAATCTCGGTCCAATCCGAGAACGTTTAACACCCGCACATGAAAAGAGGCAAAAGGGGACGCCGGAGGACATAGGAGTGCCGGATTGCAAAACGGGCAACGGGGAAAATGCTCGGATGCATGAGACGAACACGTATGCAAATGCGATGCACATGATGACATGATATGAAATGCATGACACGCAAACAAATGACAAGGCAACAATAGCGAATAACTGGAAGACACCTGGCGCAACGGTCTCGGAGCGTTACACCGCAGTGTTGCACCGTTGGTCGTTGCACCTGCAACAATGTAGTCGTGCGGCCCTTTGAAGCGTCTGATATTCCCTCCCCTCTCTCCCTTCAGCACCGGCATTGAGGCTCCCCGCACCGGTACGTCCTTGCACATCAGCACACCTATTTGCAATAGTCGGTGCATGCCTACATCATCGATGGGCTCGGAAGCCCATGCCTTGAGCAGCCTGGTGGCCCGGCATGCAACACCTTGATGCCCCGCCGTGCAATATCCTAACCTTGCAGTGCACGGTGGTCGAAGTTGTGTTTGCGGCATTGGCGCATTGGTATGCAACGCCCGGTCCCCCGCCTCCAACGCCCGGTGCCTGACCTTGCGTGTCGCATGCAAGCGACGGCTCCCGGTCGGCCCACTGCAACGGCAACCCCAAGTCCTTGCAGCATCTCGGGTGTCATGGTTGTGGACACTCTAGTTAACTTTGGCAAAGATTAACTTGAGGCTATGAAGCATCATTTAGTTTTCCTTTGCGGGAAAAGATCATTTGGTTAACTGGACAACTATCTGTCAACCTCGAGGCTAATGGTCGATGCGTTTTCACTGGGAGGAGACGTTCCTGTCGACGACAAGGCGCCTACGGTGACTTCGTAAATCTCAAGATGATAAGCCGGCTCGGTCTCTCGAAGATGCTCATATGGGTAGGGTGTGCATGTGTGCGTTCACATGGGTGACTGCATGCGCGTATGTATGAGCGCTTGCGTTATACTGTGTTCAAAAAAACCTTGAAGCCAATGGGATTGGGGTGGTTGACTTAGAAGTTGTGGACATTTGACTTCCATGTGCTAGCCAAAATTCTTTTTTTTTTTGGAAATTCTAGTCACATCTATCATTGATTCTAAAAAACTTAAAAAAAATCACTGCATTTTAGGTTATGGGTAGCACGGTAGCATCCAAAGTGTTTGCAGCACTATAACTGCTTTGTGTAGTGATAAAAATGAGACCTCATATTTGGTGCAAGTGAGCGTCAAACAGTGGAGAACACGCCTGAAGCGATGGGCAAATGGGCCAGCCCTATCTAAGGAGTTCACGTGAGTGGTTTTCTTTGTTGTTGTTGTTGTTGTTGTTTTACTTTTTCTTAGGTTGCTTTTTGTATCCTGTTGTTGGGTTCTTTTTACAAAGCTAAGCAATTAAAACATATTTAGAAAGATAAATATATTTCAAAAATCTGTGTGTGTTTAGAAGAGTTCAATGCGTGTTAAACAAATGTCGGAGTATATTAAAAAAATCACGTACATTAAAACTCACTCTATAGAAAAAGTTCGGTGTGTATCTGAAAAGTGTTCACCATATATTACAAAATGTTTATAGCACAGAAAACTACAAAAGATAAAAGGTGCTAATATAAAAACTGAACTTTGGCTTTTGTCGTTCATTCATATTCATATTCATATTCATATTCGGCCCAGTTCTCAGTCCCCAATCTTCTAATCCAAGCACTGGACTTGGGATGTTCAGGGTTGTGAAAGTAGACCATTCAACTTGGGTCGGGGCCCAACGGTGAAAAGAAAGAATTCCTCAATAGCAAGCCCATCAGTCAACCTGTCGAGAGCATTTGTCTGCACTCGCTGCGTACGCATCACTGGACCCTTCTAGAACCACAGAGTTTTCTTTTTTTCGACGGGGAACCACAGTGTTATTCGCTGGTGAAACGGTGGTAGTTATCACGAGCTTTTTGGAGTGTTCATACACGAAAGTGTCCTTCTAATTCCGAGCTCAGATGGTCCAGTAAAAATCTGTGCAATAGATATACTGGTATGCAGCATGGATCACTAACAGTTATGTACGGATCAGATAGGGTATCGACTCTTACCCTGTTCTCAGGTCGCAAATCGTAGAGATTGGTGCAGGTTATATCCTCCCATGCTTATACCTTCACCTAAAGACACAACCGACCGAAGAAAGGCAAGGCTCGGGACACTTGGCACGTTTCATCTACCACCCTAAACCGCAATGCAGCATGAAAATCTTGGCAGAGACCTTAGAATATCGCCAACAATCGAAGAAAAGGCACAACCTGCGGCCATGCGTGGCTGACGTCGACTAAGATTCATAACACGAGAGCCGCCAAAAACCGAAACCCCTGGCCACCATGCGGCTGCAGCTGCAGGGCAACAATCCCATTCCCACGGCAGAAAGGCAGAGATCACAACCCTTGTCCCCATGCCTCACGGACGCGTCGTCCAGAGCTTCGGACCATCAGGCCCAGCAAACCACCAAACGAACCCCTTCCACGAACCACAAAGCAAAAGGCCCCACAAACATCACACACCAAACTGGAGAGCATCAAACGAGAATGCACGGCCCAAGATCGGAAAAACAAAGGAAGGAGAAACGGAATCCGCCAACGCGGCGACCCACGCACGGGAAGGCAGGAGGTTGGGGGGTGCCCTTTGCGGCCGGGGTGTGTGCCACGCGCAGGCCGCGAACAGCGACCGCGGGCTATCCGCCCGCCTCATCGGCATCCCCCGGCGGGGCGCGCCCAGGGAATCCGGCGCGGCCAATCGCAGCGCGCGCAGCCCCGATCGCGATCCGCTTTTCTCACCCCCGCACCCCCACCGCCCCGTCACCCGCCAACGTGTGCCGCCTCCCGCCACCGGATGCCCCCGGCCGCCGCTTGCCGGCCACCCTCCATACTTGCCAACAAACCTATACATTCCCGAGCTGGCACACTCCCCAGCTCGCTCCTCGCCTCCTCCTCCCCCTCCTCCCCTGCCTCAGAGGGACACGACAACAGAATCCAAGAACGGAGAGCCACCCTCTCAGTCGGATTGCCGCTCCATTGTTGAATAACATACACTCCTAGTGGTAGTTTTTTATTGGCTTGGGGGGGTGTGAGGGCCCGTATTATTTTAGCCGGGAGGGGATAAAGATGTCGTCGCTGGTGTCCGCGCCGTTCGCCACGGCCACCGGGGCGCGGAAGAAGGCGCGCGCGCCCGCGCCGCTGCACTCGTTCCTGCTCGCCGGCCGGCGGGGGCGGCGCGCGGCGGCGGCGACGATACGGTGCGCCGTGGCCGGGAACGGGCTGTTCACGCAGACCAACCCGGACGTGCGCCGCGTGGTGCCGGCGGAGCGCGGCCTGCCGCGGGTCAGGGTGGTCTACGTCGTGCTGGAGGCGCAGTACCAGTCCTCGGTCACCGCGGCGGTGATGCAGCTCAACGCCGACCCGCGCCGCGCCGCCGAGTTCGAGGTGGTGGGGTACCTGGTGGAGGAGCTGCGGGACGCGGACACGTACGCCGCCTTCTGCGACGACGTGGCCGCCGCCAACGTCTTCATCGGCTCGCTCATCTTCGTGGAGGAGCTGGCGCTCAAGGTGCGGGACGCCGTGGCGGCGCACCGGGACCGGATGGACGCCGTGCTCGTCTTCCCGTCCATGCCGGAGGTGATGCGGCTCAACAAGCTGGGGTCCTTCAGCATGGCGCAGCTGGGCCAGTCCAAGAGCCCCTTCTTCCAGCTCTTCAAGCGCAACAAGAAGGACTCGAGCGGCTTCGCCGACAGCATGCTCAAGCTGGTGCGCACGCTGCCCAAGGTGCTCAAGTACCTGCCCTCCGACAAGGCGCAGGACGCGCGCCTCTACATCCTCAGCCTCCAGTTCTGGCTCGGCGGCTCGCCGGACAACCTCCAGAACTTCCTCAAGATGATCGCCGTCTCCTACGTGCCGGCGCTCAAGGGCGCCGACATCAAGTACAGCGACCCCGTGCTCTTCCTCGACACCGGCATCTGGCACCCGCTCGCGCCCGCCATGTTCGACGACGTCAAGGAGTACCTCAACTGGTACGGCACCCGCCGCGACGCCAACGACAGGCTCAAGAACCCCGAGGCGCCCGTCATCGGCCTCGTCCTCCAGCGGAGCCACATTGTCACCGGCGACGACGGCCACTACGTCGCCGTGATCATGGAGCTCGAGGCCAGGGGCGCCAAGGTCATCCCCATCTTCGCCGGCGGGCTCGACTTCTCGGGCCCCATCGAGCGCTACCTCGTCGACCCAATCACCAAGAAGCCGTTCGTGAACGCCGTGGTGTCGCTCACCGGGTTCGCGCTCGTCGGCGGGCCGGCCAGGCAGGACCACCCCAAGGCCATCGCGTCGCTGATGAAGCTCGACGTGCCCTACATCGTCGCGCTGCCGCTCGTGTTCCAGACCACGGAGGAGTGGCTCAACAGCACCTTGGGCCTTCACCCCATCCAGGTCGCGCTGCAGGTCGCGCTCCCGGAGCTCGACGGCGGCATGGAGCCCATCGTGTTCGCCGGCCGGGACCCGAGATCAGGCAAGCCACTTCTACATCCCATTATAACTCATTGGCCTGTTGCTCTGATTTGCTTGATCAATGTACTTTGAGCTGAACTGGGAATGCTGTTTCTTGTGTTTGATGCAGGGAAGTCGCATGCATTGCACAAGAGGGTGGAGCAGCTCTGCACCAGAGCAATCAGATGGGCAGAACTCAAGAGGAAAACTAAGGTATGCATCTCACATCGATCCACACGGCTGTTGTCCATATTGTACTGTCAATGCTAAGGAGCAAAAGCTAGCTTATAGGTACTTCTGAGTTCTGACGCCCATCTCTTCTTGAGGTGTAAATAGATGAACTCATCGACATATTAGCTCAACTACTACTAGTTTACTGTCAAGCTGAAAACTGGGACTGCTTATTCAATTTGTGCATCAAACCTTCAACCATGTTTAAGAAAAAAATTGAATGTCAAAAAAAATGTTTTAAGAAAATTTGAGTCCCCTTAGGAACAGACAAACTAATCAAAATGTTAGCTCAACTAACGTAACTGTCATGCTGAAAACTGAAACTACTCGCTCAGTTGATCGATTAACTCTTGTATCTTGAACCATTCACCCACTGAACAGTTTGTTGTGTATATCAACGCCGTAAGCCTGCTAATCTGCTATGAGAATGAGATGTTAAATAAATGATGAAAAGTCCAGTGCATCCTGATTATGCCTATCTATCATCAAGTCAAAGTTCAATGAATAGTAACAGCACGTCGCAAGGTTAAGCTAGCAAATGCTAACTGACTGAACTTCTACTTACTCCTTCAAAATGAAACAAAAGATCATGTGAGGACAAAATTTAATACTTCACTGCGGAATCTTAAACTTCAGTTATGTGATCTACTTTCCACTTTCATGTCAAATTCCTGATAATTAATTTTTGGGGTAGTGAAACTCCTCATGGCCGAAAACATTATACATGTTGCTCGGTTCTTGTATGCACAGGTTTGCAAAAACTAAACCATAAATTAATTACCTTTTTTACTTGTTTGTTGTAGATGGACAAGAAACTAGCCATCACCGTTTTCAGCTTCCCACCAGACAAGGGCAATGTTGGCACTGCAGCATACCTGAATGTCTTCAGCTCCATCTATTCTGTCCTCAAGGACCTCAAGAAGGATGGCTACAATGTCGAGGGCCTTCCAGAGACACCTGAAGAACTCATTGAGGAGGTTATTCATGATAAGGAGGCCCAGTTCAACAGCCCCAACCTCAATGTTGTTTACCGCATGAATGTGCGGGAGTACCAAGCACTCACCCCCTACGCCAACATGCTGGAGGAGAACTGGGGCAAGCCACCTGGGCATCTCAACTCTGATGGTGAGAACCTCCTTGTCTATGGGAAGCAGTATGGCAACATCTTCATCGGAGTGCAGCCCACTTTTGGCTATGAAGGTGACCCAATGCGGCTTCTGTTCTCAAAGTCTGCCAGCCCTCACCATGGGTTTGCAGCATACTACACTTTTGTTGAGAAGATCTTCAAGGCAGATGCTGTTCTGCACTTTGGCACACACGGGTCCCTTGAGTTCATGCCCGGGAAACAAGTTGGGATGAGTGATGCATGCTTCCCTGATAGTCTGATTGGTAACATCCCCAACATCTACTACTATGCAGCAAACAACCCTTCAGAGGCAACAGTGGCCAAGCGCCGAAGCTATGCAAACACTATAAGCTACCTGACACCACCAGCTGAGAATGCCGGTCTGTACAAGGGGCTGAAGCAGCTGTCAGAGCTCATCGCCTCTTACCAGTCTCTCAAGGACACGGGCCGTGGCAACCAGATTGTGAGCTCAATCATCAGCACTGCAAAACAGTGTAACCTGGACAAGGATGTTGACTTGCCCGATGAAGGCGAGGAGCTCCCAGCCAATGAGCGTGACCTCGTCGTCGGGAAGGTGTATGGAAAGCTCATGGAGATAGAGTCACGGCTACTGCCATGTGGTCTGCATGTGATAGGTGAGCCACCAACTGCCGTCGAAGCTGTGGCCACATTGGTGAACATAGCTGCTCTTGACCGCCCAGAGGAGAACATATTCTCGCTGCCCGGCATTCTTGCTGCGACGGTGGGCAGGACCATTGAAGATGTCTACAGGGGTAGTGACAAGGGCATACTGGCTGATGTTGAACTCCTGAAGCAGATCACTGAAGCTTCACGAGGTGCCGTAAGTGCCTTTGTTGAGAAGACCACAAACAGCAAAGGGCAAGTTGTTGATGTTACAAACAAACTCAGTTCCATCCTTGGCTTTAGTCTCTCAGAGCCATGGGTGGAGTACCTGTCCCAAACCAAGTTCATCAGGGCGGACAGAGATAAGCTGAGGACCTTGTTTGGATTCTTGGGAGAGTGCCTGAAGCTGATTGTGGCAGACAATGAGCTGGGAGCCTTGAAGACTGCCCTTGAGGGAAGCTATGTTGAGCCAGGCCCTGGTGGTGATCCCATCCGTAACCCGAAGGTTCTCCCAACAGGGAAGAACATCCATGCTCTCGACCCGCAGTCTATCCCGACTGCAGCTGCCATGAAGAGTGCCAAGATTGTTGTGGAACGTCTGCTGGAGCGGCAAAAGGCTGACAATGGTGGCAAGTATCCTGAGACAATTGCACTTGTCTTGTGGGGCACCGACAACATCAAGACCTACGGCGAGTCGCTGGCCCAGGTGATGTGGATGCTTGGTGTGGAGCCGGTTACTGATGGGCTTGGCCGTGTCAACCGTGTGGAGCCCGTCAGCATTGAGGAGCTTGGACGCCCTAGGATTGATGTCGTCGTCAACTGCTCGGGTGTGTTCAGAGATCTTTTCATCAACCAGGTACGAACTAATACCGCCTCTGCATTTGATTTGTATATTTTGCAGATAACTAAATTATTCATCACTTAACTCATGCACTAATGTTACACATCTGACCAATGCAGATGAATCTGCTGGACCGGGCAGTAAAGATGGTTGCTGAACTAGATGAGCCAATTGAGATGAACTATGTGCGCAAGCATGCCCAGGAGCAGGCAGAGGAGCTCGGTGTCTCGGTAAGAGAGGCGGCAACAAGGATCTTCTCAAATGCATCAGGCTCTTATTCGTCGAATGTGAACTTAGCAGTGGAGAATGCATCATGGACAGATGAGAAGCAGCTCCAGGACATGTACCTGAGCCGCAAATCTTTCGCATTCGACAGTGATGCTCCAGGGGTAGGCATGCTAGAGAAACGCAAGACTTTTGAGCTTGCTCTAGCAACAGCAGATGCCACATTCCAAAACCTGGACTCCTCGGAGATCTCACTGACAGATGTCAGCCACTACTTCGACTCAGACCCGACGAAGCTGGTGCAAGGGCTGCGGAAGGATGGGCGGGCACCTTCATCGTACATAGCAGACACAACCACAGCAAATGCACAGGTGCGGACATTGTCGGAGACGGTGCGTCTTGATGCAAGGACAAAGCTACTGAACCCTAGGTGGTACGAGGGGATGATGAAGAGTGGCTATGAGGGAGTTAGAGAGATCGAGAAGCGGCTGACGAATACTGTTGGATGGAGTGCAACATCCGGGCAGGTGGACAACTGGGTTTACGAGGAAGCAAACACCACATTCATCGAAGATGAAGAGATGAGGAAGAGGCTGATGGACACAAATCCCAATTCGTTCAGGAAGCTGCTTCAAACCTTCCTAGAAGCAAATGGCAGAGGCTACTGGGAGACATCAGAGGATAACTTGGAAAGGCTCAGGGAGCTCTACTCGGAGGTTGAAGACAAGATCGAAGGAATTGACCGGTGAACTCATTTCACTGATCAACCAGTTCCAGCATTTGACCAAGAAGAAATTCTTCTGCCTTGCTGAGTTGAAACTTGTATAATTTGTGATTTATAAAAGTTGTAACATGCAATACAGACCTTTAACAAAGAGGGTGGTTCGTTGTGAATGTAAAAAGGAAGCATGAGTAGAAGTTCTTTTTTGGGGAATATTGGTACTTTGCTGTCACATGTTCATCTACAGATATAGTAACAGAGAATGGAGTGTCATTTTTAACTGTTTTAACAAAATAACATTTGAAGTTTAGCATTCTTCATTGTTATCTTTACATTGAACTGCAACAGTCCAATAGGTAAAGATTTCACACTAGGAAACAATGGTGTTAATGTGATCATGTGAGACTACTGATAAGGTAAAAGTCTCTTGTTAAATTGAACTTACAACTGAAAGGGAGGATGAAGAGGAACAAAACAATAACTTTAACGATCGTAGTTTTGTTTCCCCTTCCCAACCCAAATTATACAATTTTAGTGGACTCTAGTCTCCTGGATCAGACCAACTCCAGAAGAAAAGGATCTCCTGAAGCCATGACTCTGATTAGTTTTACAAAATCAATTTCATTCTCAACCTTCATAGGGTACACAGCATGTGCTTCAGGAGTATATATCGCCGAGAAAGTGGTATCTGATGGCAAGTTTGTCCGATAAGCAAGTTTTCCCAAAGCTTTGGGTTCAAAATTGCTCGGTACATCCATTGCAAGGAACAACATGGGGACTCCAATGGTGTGATGGATGTCTAGGTTTCCGATAACTTTAACGAGGTAGGAGAAGTCACCGGTGTACCGTCGAGGTATGTAGAATATCTCACTGCTGCAATGAATTATCTTATCTTCACCTATGCTTCTTTTGTAATTGGCTTGATGGTGAACTGGAAAACTGTCAACCGCCTTTTTTACCATATTTCCTTGGTTCATAAACCATTCATTGTTATTTCCCGGTAGAGGGACATCGGACCATGATTCCTTCACCTGGTGAGAACCAGAGAAGTTAGTTTTGACAGATCAGAATATTTGAATGTTCTATAATTCACAAATTTCACAAACCAGGAAAAGGGTACGCACCTTGTTGGTTATCCAGAGCTTGGATTTATCAGCATCCAATAGGTTCCAATAATTTAGGACCATATGATCCTGAAGGAATACAAATCCTTCAGCGCCTGCAAACCGATCAAACACCTTGGGCAAGTACCTGTGATGGGAACTTATCAGTAAGTGGTTAATCAATTCTACAATTTTGGTATCCAAGCAAATGAAGCCTCACTGGATGAAGCAACAGTAGGATTTATGGAAACATGAAGAAAACTGCAAGGTTACAGATCAGGCTGATTGAACTCACTTGTATGCATGTGCAAAGTTGCTGGATTCGACAGCAAGATCTGAATTGCCATGCTCTGAAAGAATAACCACTGCCCGGAATATCCGGCCATAAAGAAGCCTCCACTCTAGTGCAGTCCGGTCCACAGGTCCGGTGCAATGCACTATAAGCACAACATCACCAAAGTGCTTCCTCCATTTTATGAGATTGCCAATCTCAGTGCTTACTTCCCCAATCTCCTCAACCCCAAGATGGACAGAAGGCTGCTTCTTGGGGACAAACTCCTGCTTATCCCCATGACCAATGGCCGCTCTCGGGCGGTCGATCTCCAATGACATCAACCTTGGCTGCCTGTACCCGACAGCGACCAGATCTTGCAGCCACGCAGCCATGAAATGCAAATCCTTCTCCCACCAGAAACCCTCCTCCGTCATCGCATAACTCAAATCAAGAATCCGCTCAAAGAGTGTCGGTTTCGTCGACCGCCACTCCATCAGGAAATTTATCAGCCTCCCTACATTGACATGGATATCCTTCTCCTCGTCGAATGGATGAGCATGCACATTATCAGTGCGATGCACAGTCGGTGGGTACACAACTAGTTGGCCCCCAATCTCCCATAGTATCCTCTGCGTCCAATACCCACGGATAACATCGGACGCCATCGGACTCACCGAGACCGGCAATGCAAGACCCCAGAACGCCGGTGCATGGAACATTGTGTTCAGTGAGTTGACTGGCGCCATCACGCCCTGTGGCAATGCTACCTTGGGTGCGTCTGCATCAAACTGAACATCGAAAGCCTCCATTTCCAGTGACTTTCGTGTGAGGTAGAACACAGCGTCAACATCTGGAAGGCCATTGCACAGCCCCTGCTGTATGAACTGCCCACCGCCGTACACCATCGTGTAGAATTCCTCGGCGCCCACCTCCCCGGCCTTCTCCAGCGGCAGCCCCCGCGGCCAGACCGACGGCTGCCCGAAGTGCACGTACGGGTTCACCACCGTGCGGTTGGGATCGGCGTGGCTGTACTGCAGCAGAACGGAGCCGCCCCCCTGGCGCTGGTCCAGATCGACATCGAAGTGCCTGGTGAGGTTGTTGCCGGTCACGGCGTTGCGGGCGTCGGCGTCGTAGACGACGCGCGCGCCGCGCTGCACGGCGAAGAGGTACGCGGCGGCCTTGCGGGCGTGGCCGCGGGCGGGGAGGAACTCGACGGAGCGGAAGCCGAGGCGGGCCTGGTCGGCGAGGGTGAGCAGCGCGGCGCCCGGGTGGGACCAGCCGGGCGGGGTGGCCTCGTCCGCGACGGCGAGGAGCTGCCAGCCGGGGGCGGCGGCCAGCGGGCGGTGGCGCTGGTGGTGGGGCGACGCGGAGAAGACGATCCAGTGGGAGGCGCGGAGGTCGGGGAGCGGGGAGGAGGGGAGCCCCGGGAGGGGCGGCACGCGGGACCAGAGGACGGACGGGTACGGGATGCGGCGGGGGGCGGGGGAGGAGCGGCAGAGCGCGGACGGGGAGGCGCCGCCGTTGAAGAAGAGGAGGAGGAGGAAGGGGGCCGCCGCGAGCGCTGCGAGGAGGAGGTAGACGGCGCGCCTGGAGCCGGTGGTGGCGACGGGGGCGGCGGGCGGCGGCATTTGGGCGCGGCGGAGGGGAGGAGCTCGCGGTGGCTTGGTGGCGCTGGTTGGTGGGTCGGCAGTGGCGTGGGAGTCAACGCCGGCGAGCGACGCGGGGTCGCGCAGCCGGTGGGGTGGTTCTGCCGGGAGCTCTTTTATGGTACCGTGAAATGAATATTGGCCTTTTATTCCTGAAGATCTAACGTCCCAAAGGCCGATGGATTGGATTGCGCTAGCAGTACAGCGTGCACTGGTTGTTTAATCCGAGCAGTATACGAGATCCAAGGGCAATTTGGGAAGATATTTTCAGCTCGTCCGATGGATTGTTGCGACCCACTCGTTCTCCCTCTCATTCTGTTCCGCCGTCGCACACATGCATCTCCGCGGGCCCATCTCCCGTCCCTTCCTCGATCAACCCGTGCTCGTCGACCAGACGCTCGGTGGCTTGGAGCAGGTCTCACCTGACGTCTTCTACCCGTCCTCCTCTTCATCGCCTGGCCGTATGTGAGGAGAGCTGGCTTAGGCTGCTCATCGTGGCCTGATTCATGGCGGTGGTGGCAAAAACACCGGACGCCGCTGAAGAGCTTGCCGCCGTCGAAGACAAGGCCATACAGAAATACATCATCCCCCGCCTCGGCTCCCAGGCAGCAGTATGTAGGCGACAGGTGCTCACGGATAGTTTAGTATTCACCTTCGTAGAGTTGTCCATGTCCAACGCAAATTCAGGTTTTAAGTTGTAAAGTATATTAGTTCAGTCTGTTGGCAATCGAGTGATGCTCGGTTATTTCCTAGGAGCCGGAGTTAGCACCTGCAAGAAAATTTTATGATGCAAGCATACCACATATACGTGTTGGAAATATGCCCTAGAGGCAATAATAAAAGCATTATTATTATATTTCCTTGTTTATGATAATTGTCTTTATTCATGCTATAATTGTGTTATCCGGAAATCGTAATACATGTGTGAATAAGAGACATCAACATGTCCCTAGTAAACCTCTAGTTGACTAGTTTGTTAATCAACAGATAGTCATGGTTTCCTGACTATGGACATTGGATGTCATTGATAACGAGATCACATCATTAGGAGAATGATGTGATGGACAAGACCCAATCCTAAACATAGCACAAGATCGTATAGTTCGTTTGCTAGAGTTTTCCAATGTCAAGTATCCTTTCCTTAGACCATGAGATCGTGTAACTCCCGGATACCGTAGGAGTGCTTTGGGTATACCAAACGTCACAACGTAACTGGCTGACTATAAAGGTATACTACGGGTATCTCCGAAAGTGTCTGTTGGGTTGACACGGATCAAGATTGGGATTTGTCACTCCGTATGACGGAGAGGTATCACTGGGCCCACTCGGTAATGCATCATCATAATGAGTTCAAAGTGACCAAGTGTCTGGTAACGGGATCATGCATTACGGTACGAGTAAAGTGACTTACCGGTAACGAGATTGAACGAGGTATTGGGATATCGACGACCGAATCCCGGGCAAGTAACATACCTATTGACAAAGGGAATTGTATACGGGGTTGCTTGAATCCTCGACATCGTGGTTCATCCGATGAGATCATCGAGGAGCATGTGGGAACCAACATGGGTATCCAGATCTCGCTGTTGGTTATTGACCGGAGAGCGATCTCGGTCATGTCTACATGTCTTTCGAACCCGTAGGGTCTACACACTTAAGGTTCGGTGACGCTAGGGTTGTAGGGATATGTATATGCAGTAACCCGAATGTTGTTCGGAGTCACGGATGAGATCCCGGACGTCACGAGGAGTTCCGGAATGGTCCGGAGGTAAAGAATTATATATAGGAAGTGCTATTTCGGGCATCGGGACAAGTTTCGGGATCACCGGTATTGTACTGGGACCACCGGAAGGGTCCCGGGGGTCCACCGGATAGGGCCACCTGTCCCGGGGGGGCACATGGGCTGTAGGGGGTGCGCCTTGGCCTACATGGGCCAAGGGCACCAGCCCCAAGATGCCCATGCGCCTAGGGTTTCAAGGAGGGAAGAGTCCCAAAGGGGGAAGGC